TCTGGGAAAAGATAGAGGTTACAAAATCCTTGTAGCACAGGTAATATAAAAGAAAAATACCATGTGCTTCTTTACATGGAGTTTGTCACAATTTAGATCAGCTTCTTAAGATTTTAAAATCTTATACTTTAAAGAGTCTTATTTTACTGTATTTATTTCTTCATCTGATTTTGTTGTTGTTTAAATCACATGCATAAACCCATGTTTACAGGCTTAATGTTTCTGTGATACGTCAGAGAACTTGTAAAAACAGTTACTTGCAGGCAGTGGTTTGCTTTATTTTGTTATCAGTTGTGCAAATTCAATGGTAGTAATACCTTCCAGTAAATAATCAATTTCTTGCTTACCAAGAAGAAATTATTTTTGATGAAGGAATAGCTTTTAAGGTAAATCAATTCTGGTTCGTAAAAGCTTGGCAGAGTTTTAAACATATAATACTTTCTGGAAAAGAAACTGTAACTGATACAGTTAGACATTTCAAATATTTTATTTTTTTAGTAGATAAATTATGTTTCATATTCCCTTTCCTTTTTTTCAGTGATCATTTATTGGGTGATTAATGAATCTGCTCAATTTAAACATTTTTTTTCTTAGAAGCATATTCCTCTTAGAAAGCCCTCAGGGGTACCTTACATATCACACTGACAAGATACAGAGGCTTCTGTAGAGATTAGGCCATGTAGGTGTGATAGAAATACAGATTTCCAGGCACCCTTGAATGGTTGCTCTTGCCTTATAAGATTAAGAATGAGCAGAAGAATTTCTTTTTATTTCTTCTTACTGTATTCGCCATATTGTCTCAGACTTGTTTTCTCATTGAAAAGAAAGTATGAATGCAAGTTTGACCCCAAATTCTGATTTACAGTTTGTTGTTGTTTTAGTGATGCAGGAAGGTTAAATAGTGCTTATAATTTTGGGTTGGGGAACTTCCTATATTTTTTTTCCTATATTTTTAAAAACAGGTGAGTTGGGCAAGGTCTGTGAGGACAGTTGTCTTCCCTTAACATATACATAAAACTAAAATATTTGAATTCGAATAATTTTAGGGCACTGGGAAAGGTAAGAGAATAAGTAGTTGATCTAGAGTAAAGTTGTATTGTCTCCCTCCCTCTTAAGTCCATATATATTGCTTTTTTGCTTTTTTTCCCCCCCGGTTAAGTATGTTTAAAAACTTTATTCTAGGTTCGTCTGACTCATGAAATCAGACACAAGAATATAGTGACATTTCACGAATGGTATGAAACAAGCAACCATCTCTGGCTTGTAGTGGAATTATGCACAGGTAAGATAAGCTCAAAAGGTAAAAATTTATAGAGTATTTGTAAAAGATTTCTTAATTTCTCCGCAACAAATGCTTAGATCTTTGAAAAAACTTAATAATTATCTGATTACTAACTTGAGAATCCTATTTATATATAAAAATGATTTTGCTGTTGGAAACATTTTTAGAAATCACTTGAAGTTATATTTCTCCTCTGCTTCACTGTATATGTATGTTAAATGTTAATTGATGTGACATAATGTTGGTTTTTAATATCTGAAGAGGTAACGCTAAAACCAAATTGTGAATAGGAGGATAGCTAAGTAAAAATTACTTGAGGAAAGTTTTCTAAGGACTGGCAGCTTTGGCGTTCTCTTTTCATTTTATAGCACACAATAATAAAGACAGCAATGTGCAAATCAAGTTATAACGTACAAATGACTTAATATTGTTCAAATAAATTTTTAAATCAAGGGACAATTCTGTAGCTAGTAGTAAATTATGTAGGATTTCTTCCTGCTCAGTAGAAGTATTTTGACTTTTTTGTTAAGACATTAATTTTGGAGCTCTGAGAACCCAAAACTGCATGAAGTGATTCACTGAGTTTTGATAGGTTCTCATCAATCTATCAAAGGAATCTTTTAAAGTTTTCTCTAATTGTGATGACTGCGTATTTTAAACTCCAGATAGCGTGCTTTACTCCACGTGGAAAGAAAAGAAGGCCAATTGTGCAAGTGATGCATGCTAAGAATTTGGTATCTGGAGTTTGTTTCATAGTAAAAGTCCATATTACACACAGCCTTTTTTTCTATCCAGAATTCTGTTTCAAAAATTACTGAAGAAGAGAAGCTACAAATTCTGGAAAAAACCCCAGGTCATTCTTTCAATGATTAAATGTGAAGTTCATGGCTCATATGGAGGCTTTGGTCTATTTGCTTAGTCTAACTTACGGGCACATATGTAAGTCATTAGACAGGCAGCCTTTTATTAAGTAGAGTTTGAACAATTGTCATGTATTTTTACCTTGCAGCATTGCAGTTTGCTGCAAGGAGAGTGTCTTGAAACTAACTTACTTATGAATAGAATAAACCAGGGATTTTTTATTAATTTTGTAGAGCCTTGAAAACTGCTTTTGAAATATGAAAGATCTCTCTCACTTGTCTCAAGGTGACAAAGTGAGTTTCCGTTATCAGATGCAGCATAATTATGTATTGCTGGTTTTGCTATTTTTTTTTCCTTTGCGTATTTGGTCATATTATGGAATTATTCTATATGTAGTCCTCTAAATTACATTATTAAAAACCGTAATTAAACATGATGGAAAATTCTTTACTATGGCAACATAATATGGGCTTGGTTTTAAAGGAATGACTGATTTACTAAGCAGCATAAAAAAGGGCTTAGAAAGAAAATAATTTTAAGATTCAGCAGTGTTGAATAATTTCAGAAATACTGTGGTGACAGACCTTTTAGTTTTGCTATTGTCTGAATAAAATATTGAGCAAAGGGCAAAAGCTCAGGAATATCTATTATGTGATTTGGAATAAAAGATCTAGTATCCTTTTCCATGAAAAGCTCTCCTAATGCCTGTTTTCATTCAGGGACTTAAATTTGTGGTTTTTTGGGTTTTATTTGGTTTTTTTTTTTTTTAAATGTGCATGATTTGGCTAAGATAAAAATAGATAACACAGGAAACCCATAGATAATTCATGAAATACAAACTGTAGTCTCCTGGTGCATGAGTAGTAAAGGACCAAATGAAGTTGAGGAAAGGGATTTTGGGAGAGATGGGAATGTGGAGTTTAGGATAGCAGACTGGAATAGGAAGGAGGAGAAAGACTGTTTGAGCAAAGAGCTTGTGGGAAACAAGTTTAGGAGAAGTCCAAGTCCTGTGAACAGTTAGGACAGGAACGGCTCAAATGGGATGAATCTGATGACGTACCTGAGAATCAGTGGGATGTGAGGAAGTAGGTGACGGGGGAAGGAAGAGAGATTTTTGCAAGGCAGAGAAACAGTAACAGTCAATGCGGGAAGGCATTGAAAGTGAATGTGAAGCCCAGGGAAGGACACAGGTTATAGAGGGTATATGTGAGGGGTAATTAGAAGGCTTTGTAGGTGTAATCTGATCAGAAATAGAGGAAGGGTTGGTTGGAATTTAGTGGAGGAGAGTGGTGATTTTGGAAGGACAGAGAACGGTCTCGTATTAGGATGAGAAGTCCAGAGAGATACGAGTAGGACTTGCTGGGCCAGGAAGCTGGGATTTGTGTGAGAAACCTGGGAAGTGAAAGTTTAGTCCTGGGTATTTTTGTTTTGTTCTTTTAAATTCTTTTTTCTTTAAAAAAAAAAAAAAGAAAAGAAAAAAGAGAGAGAGGAAAGGATGAAAATGAAAGAACTGGAGCACGAGTCAAGAAAAGGACTGTACGGAAATACTATGTGTGAAGAACAAACAAAAGAATTTATCTGTTGTATGTTGTTGACCTCAGAACCCCAGAATGTAACCCAGTTTTACTATTTCTGTTGTCTGTGAATTCAGTGGAAAATTGCATGTCATTAGCTTTAGCACTTGTTCACAGAAGTTGATAGCCTGCTCTTGGTATTGTTTATTCTTTTAACTCATGCAGCAGGGATCTGGGTAAGGAATTTGAATAAACCCATTGGGTACTATTACATTGTGATATGACACAGTTTCTGGGTTTCTTTTTTCCCGTCTGTTTCCTTTGTAAAATAAATCAATATTAAAGTAATTTTGAAGTCATGCACTCAATTTAATTCTAGTCAAAATTAAGATTTTTGTCACAGTATTGGAAATAGATTTTTTTTTTTTTTTCTGTATATCTTGGATTTTGTAACTATTAGATAATCTCCAGAAATGTTTTTAATATCTACTGATAATGATTTTTGCTTGACATCTTCTGAAGAAGCTTATATAATGTCTTTGGGAATGATTTGTATGGCATCTTCTTTATATGCACTTGCTGACTATGTGTAAACATATTTCAGGTGGTTCTCTAGAATCTGTTATTGCTCAAGATGAACATCTACCTGAAGATGTAGTGAGAGAATTTGGTGTTGAGTTGATGACTGGTTTATACCATATTCATAAGCTTGGAATTATCTTTTGTGAACTGACGCCTGGAAAGGTAAGAGGGAGCATTATTTATAGGGGATGCTGCATGTTACTTGGTATGCCATCAGCATTCAATTCATTATTTGTATTTTACTGTTTGGAAGAGGCTTACCTCAGGTTGGAGGCCAGTTGAGCTTTATAATATATGTGAAGACAATGAGAAACAAGTCTATAGCTTGAATATTTTATGATCTAATTATATTGTATATTTGATACAATGTAGTAGATTCTTCTTGATTTGGTGGTTTGAATTAATGAAGGATTTTAGTTCTCTGTCCACGGACATATAACTTCGTTATTATACCTATTCTATCATGCTGCAGAATATTTTGAAGTCATAGAAAATGCTAATGAGGGAGTAAAGTTAACTAAACTTTCTTTGTTAATAACCTTCTCTATTGTTTCCAAATGCTATTTAAATTATTGTCTTACTCTTGCATGAAAATACAAATCTTCATGTAGTTTCTGATTTTGTGTGTGTGGAATTCATGTATAGTTTTGTCAAAGTCCATTTTAATTTATGTATTAACCAGAATATAACTATAACCAAAATTTCTTGCTTAACAGTAATTGGTTTTGATCTCGATCTGTAAGCGATCAAGTTGCCCTTCTCTGAATTTTCTGTAAAACCTTGCACAATTATACTCAGTTTCTGTCATTTGTGGGTCCAAAAGCACTAAAAAAATATATGAATAAAACATAATGGAGATGCCTCTTTATTCTTCCGAAGAAGAATGTTGCTGTAAAGTACTCCTTTGAACACAAAATACAGAGTGCTAAAGTAAGACTGTTTTGGTTTGGGTTTTTTTGCCTTCTCCTCCCCCTCCCTCCCCACCCCAATCTGACTGAATGGGCTACTTCTCCAAGCATTTTTGGGATTATGAAGCTTTTAATTATGAGAATAAGCAGTGGCCACATAGAGAAAACTCTCATCATCATTGGACAAAATCTTTGGAATTTTCGGCTACATAAACTTAGAAAGATTCACTTTTTTCCCCCTCAGATAAAGTTATGTTTCTTTTTACTACACTTTTATTTTCCTATACAGTTTTACTCTACTTTTACTTTCTTTTCTATAGTAACATCGTTGTTCATTTAGATCTAATAACAAGTAAACAAAAGTGCACATTAAAGCTCTTAAGGGTTCTACTGTGAGATTCTATAATTTTTTGGTTATAAGAAAAAAGACAGTGTTGGTGTTGACTTAAAAACTTTTCAGTGTTTTTGATTATAGTGATCATCTCTATGTACTTAAATGGTTTGAGATTGTGATTTTTTTTTTAAAAAATAAATTATTTTATACTTTGTGTTGGAAATTTCAGCAGTCATCAGTTTTAGTGTATGATACTTGTATGTTGGGTTATGTTTATTCTTCTAGATTCTGCTGGAAGGGCCTGGCACTTTGAAATTCAGTAATTTTTGCTTGGCTAAAGTGGATGGTGAAAACTTGGAAGAATTTTTTGCTTTAATTGGATCTGAAGAAGGCGAAGGAGATGTCAGTGAAATCACTCCACAAAGATACCTGAAAAATAGATTTCGAGGTATGATATTTTTACTAGTCAAAATTAAATTATACCAAAGGGACAGAATGAAAGTTGGAAAAAGCCTTTGTTTGAAGTAATTTGGAGAGAAGATCTTGAAATAAAACAGGTGTTTATTGTTCTGTTGGGGCTGACTAAATTTCTAGAGAAACTGAATAATTAATTCTGTTGTGTTATCATTTGTAAAGATTAATGTGTTTGCCTGTGTCTTTGCAATGGAAAGCATGATCTGTACATTTTCTGTAAGCAGGTTTAACATACCCTGCGTATGGGGAATTTTATAAGTAAGCTCAAAACCAAAATTTAGCCTTTAAGAAAGATTGTTCAGAGAGATCATAACTTTTAGGGAAAAACACCTGCAAGTGAGTAGGAAGAAAAGAAACTGTATTTACAAGTATATGGTAATAATTCTAAGTTTCACAAAGCCAGTTTAACTAAGAGCTGGAAAAAATATACTTCTGTCTGTCATAAAATGTATGACATATTAACAATTCCTGACCTTTCCTGCTTTTTGTAAATAGACTTCAGGTTATTTTTGGATTGAAGCTCATATGTAGGTAATTATAGACTATAGTATAACAAACCTTCAACATAACATAACAGGAGGTGGCTTATTTTAAATTTCTTTCTGGAGCTTGACGTCAAATCCCTACAGTACAGTTTAATGTACAAACTGTCTGTATATCCTGAGCATGTTTTTGTTATTTTATAAACTGTTCTTGATTTTTTTTCTTTGTAGAAAAAAAAAGAAGCAAAATTTCAAGAATTAAAAAAAAACAGATCCCAAAACAAAAAAAATCCACCACCACCAACAAATTGAGTATATGAATGAGATCTGAAATGTTTCAAGGTAGCTAATTAATTAAAAATATTAATTCTTGATTTGGATTTACTGAGGAAGCTTAATTATTAATTGCTATTTGATTAAATCTATGGTGGGAAGAATAACCCTGTGAAATGCCCTTGGTCCTTCATATATCATCAACTAAGTACAAGTAGTAGAATTAGAAGAATGAGACGACCACTAAAACTTTGGAAGTTCGGAGTTAGGAACTGGCTTTCCTAACTGATGAAATTGTATTTCTGGTACTTAGCCGATACAGGACAGTGAATTTAAAAAAAAAAAAAAAAAAAAAAAAAAGTTTAAAGTAAGTAGTAAAAATAATCACGTATTTACAACCTTTTGTGCTCCAATTATAAAGTAGTAATTGGAGAATGAAGAAATAACTGATATTGGAAGTATGATAAAGAAAAAAGTGGTTTAAAATTAATCCTGTTTTGTGTCAGAAAAATTTGAACTATGGAATTATTTATGGACTTTTACAAAGTCTATGCTGCAGATGCTCTCTGTAAGGTCTGGGACTAAATTCCCTTAACTTCATGTTAAATGTATACACCAAATCCAGTAAGTACTATACAGAATTGCTACTTCTTTCATTGGAGACTTTGCACTGCTGTACTTTCATTGTCCTTTTTGATGTGAATGATCCAAGTGATTTCTAGTTTGAGGCTCAACTGTTTCAGTACCTCTTACTTAAGAATGATAATTTGTTTTTAAAGCATGAGAAAGTTACTGTGCGTTAGTTTCAGCAGGTGGATCCATGCAAATATAGTAGGCTGCAAATACTATGTTATTTTTTCGTCGAATAAGAAAAATTCAGAAACTTGGTTTTAATCTTCCGAATCTTTTATTAGTCAGCATCTCAGAGCATCTCACAGACCTCTATTTCCAAGATAATGATGTGTCATAGCAGTTACTGTTATCAGGAACAATGGAATTCTTGGCAATATTTTATGGGAACGAAGAG